CGGTACTTCCCCTCCTGGCCCAGAGCTCCCCCCCATTCAGCAGATCCGAGAGTGGTACACGCGGCGCTGCAGTCTTCGGAGTGGTGCTCCTGGTGCTGCGGACCCTGGGGGTGGCGCTGCTACTGGTGCTGAGGACCCGGGCGTTGGGGCTGCTGCTGGTGTTGAGGACCCGGGCGTTGGAGCTGCTGCTGGTGCTGAGGACCCGGACGTTGGAGCTACTGCTGGAGCTGAGGACCCGGACGGTGGAGCTGCTGCTGGTGCTGAGGACCCGAGCGGTGGAGCTGCTGCTGGTGCTGAGGACCCGAGCGGTGGAGCTGCTGCTGGTGCTGAGGACCCGGACGTTGGAGCTGCTGCTGGTGCTGAGGACCCTGCCGCTGGTGTCTCTGCTGGTTCTGGAGACGCTGTGCGGCCGCGACCGTACTTCGTACCACTTCTTCAGCAGGTTCTTGGTCAGGCTCCTCCTCCTTGTCCTCCTCCCTCCGTAGAGTGTCCTCCGCCTGTCCAGTCGCAGTCACAGTTCCCGCCTGCCTCGCCTCTCCCTTGTCCCTCTCCTTACACTGGTCCCACAGGAGGTCTTGCAGAGCGTCGTGAGCCTGCGTCTCGTCCTACGTCGCCTGTTCGTACTGCTCGCACTGGTCGTCGTGTCCCACGTGAGCGTCCTCCTCCTGTCCCTGGCACTCACTACATGACTCTGCGTCCCTCCACTGCTCCTCAGCGTGTTCCGCTGCCGTCTCCTCCTACGTCCTCTCTGCCTACTCTTCCTGATCCGGAGTCTGACTCCCGTCGTGCTGCCAGTCCCACTGTCACCCGTCTCCTCGCTACTGTTGTCACTGACCCTACCTTTGAGTCTTCTGCTGCGTCTGCTCTGGTCGCTGAGTTGATAGACTTTGCTGCCCGCTGTCGTCTAGACTACGCCACTAGCCTTGTTGCTGAGTCTGAGTCTGAGTCGGTCTGTCCTCCGTCCGTCGGGGGTGAGTGTGCTCTTGGCACGGACGTCCTTGAGGACAGACAGGAGGAGTTCCAGTGCTTTGCTGCTGCTTTACCCCACCTCGTGTCCATGCTAGTTGCCCCTGAGGGAGACCCGGATGCACCAGACATCCCGACCCCGCGCACTTACGCTGAGGCGATGGCGGGTCCCTACTCCTCTCAGTGGCAGACAGCCATGGACGCAGAGATGGCTTCCTGGAAGTCCACAGGCACCTACGTCGACGAGGTTCCCCCACCTGGGGCGAACATCGTCAGTGGCATGTGGATTTTCAGGGTGAAGCGGCCACCGGGTTCTCCACCTGTCTTCAAGGCGCGCTACGTGGCTCGAGGCTTCAGTCAGCGAGAGGGAGTTGACTTCTTTCAGACCTTCTCCCCCACCCCGAAGATGACCACTCTTCGGGTGCTGCTACACATAGCCGCTCAGCGCGACTACGAGCTTCACTCACTTGACTTCAGCACTGCTTTCTTGCAGGGCAGCCTGCACGAGGAGATCTGGCTGCGCCGCCCTCCTGGCTTCACTGGGTCGGTTCCTCCTGGTACCCAGTGGAGGCTCCAGCGGCCGGTCTACGGTCTCCGCCAGGCACCGCGTGAGTGGCACGACACACTGAGGACGACACTTGCGGCTCTTGGGTTTGCTCCCTCTACTGCTGACCCGTCACTGTTTCTACGCACAGACACCTCGCTGCCTTCGGATGAGTCCGTAGAGCCGAGTGGCCCGTATCCAGAGCTTGTGGGCTGCCTCATGTACCTGATGACCTGCACTCGACCTGACCTTGCATACCCTCTTAGCATCCTTGCACGCTATGTCGCTCTTGGCCGTCACAGGAAGGAGCACATGGATGCTGCTAAGAGGGTGTTGCGCTACTTGTGCAGTACGTCGGGCATGGGGCTAGTGCTTGGAGGGCGAGACCGAGTTGTACTTACTGGACACTCAGACGCTTCTTGGGCGGACGACCAGGCTACTCAGCGGTCGTCTCAGGGTTACACTTTCAGCCTTGGCTCCGGCTCAGTTTCTTGGCGTTCTACACGCTCTTCTTCTGTTCTCAGCTCCATTTGTGAGGCTGAGATCTACGCCACAACCATGGCTGCCCAGGAGCTACGCTGGTTGACCTACCTGCTGACCGACTTGGGTGAGCGGCCTCGTTCTCCTCCAGTGCTGTACGTCGACAACCAGGCTGCCATTGCCTTGTGTGAGGAGCACAGACTGGAGCACAGAACGAAGCACATCGCCCTGCGGTACTTCCTTGCTCGAGAGCTGCAGCAGCGCGGTCAGCTTTGTCTGCGTTACGTGGCCACTGAGGCCAACCTTGCTGATGTGTTCACCAAGGCGCTTCCGCCTTGTGACCATCAGCGCTTCTGCACTCTGCTAGGCCTTGTGCCTACTGGACCTCACTTGCTTACTTCTTGACCCTGCTTGTACTGTGATCACTATATATATATATATATATATATATATATATATATATATATATATATATATAAATATATATATATATATATATATATATATATATATATATATATATATATATATATATATATATATATATATATATATATATATATATATATATATATACCTGCATGTTTACTCTTGCTAGGTTGTGATCACTGTATCTCTTGTTTTGTTATAAACCTGCATGTGAACTGGCCTTGTGGCCACCTGCTTGTGCTCAGATTGTGTGGTGTCCTTGAGATCCACCCTGAGCTTTGTCTTGCTTGCTTTTATGCTTGACTGGTCTTGTGACCACTGTTAGGTTTGGCTATCCCCCCTACTTCACCTATGGGGGTGTGTCAAATTATATGTTTCATATTATTTAGTTCTAGGTTGTGTAGGGGTGATTCTTAGAGGGTACAACAATTCTCTCGATACTCTTGTACCCCCTCCCCTAACCTAATCGACATACTTTCCTCTCTAGTCTTAACAAAAAAATCCAGGCGTACACAGAAGGGTTAAAATTAGAGATTCGGCGGCAGGTGATCGCGGCGAATTACGACAGCTACAGGGACATCGTGCGTGCAGCCGAACGATACGACGCGCTGACTCGAGGTCAACCCGAAACACGACGTTTCGCGCCGAACCGTACATTCGGCACGGAGCGATCGGCACCCCCCACGTTCGCCGAACCGATGGATATCGACAAATTCGACGCGAAGCAGCAGCCGACAAAATGCGAATTTTGCGGCGCAGCAGGGCATCAGATTTTGTCGTGCTACAAGATGAAGAAAGTACGTGCAATCATGCAGGGCGGTAACAGTGGAGCACCCCCGAAGTAAAAAAACGGGAATCGCCAGTAGCCGCGGATCGACCTGGCGATCGCGTAAAGATCCGAAAAGCGAAAAAGGGCGACGACGTGGCGACTTCGGAGCGGGTGAAAAAAGGAGAAAATGATGGCGCGAATATAAAACGTCACGACCGGCCGGCACCAGGGGAAATCGCCGAGGCAAATGGTGGCTCCGCGAAAAAAGACTCTGCACCGACCGGGAAACTCCAGCCGGACCCCCACGAAAGTAAGAATTCGTTAAAAGTATCCTATAAAGATACTCTAACGAAAAATATTGCTTCTCGTGGTTTTCAAGCCTTTGAAAAATTCAGGGGAGAGTTAGAGGCCAAGAAAAAGCCTTTAGAAATTATTCAGGTACCTGCAAAGTTGGGCAAAGTATTACGGAGCGTAGAAAAGGGTCGTGCGTTCCGTGGTGTTAATATTCTCTCCCCGCAGCATAGTGTTAAGGCTCCCCGTTGCCCACAGGTGAAGCCTACACAGCTGCAAAGGCTTAGAGGAGACATCCAGGCTCAGGAGAAATTATACAAGCCTCGGAAAAATCCTCCTACCCCCCAGGTGAAGTTGGAAAGTGCTGAGTCGGGTATAGGAACTAGGGAAGGTATTCATTTTGATGTACCCTATGATCCTATTAATGAGACCCTCTTTGGCTACTCAGCGCAGCAGAAACCACTACTCCTCGAGGTGTTATGCAATGGGCGACGCCTCCAGGCACTGGTGGACAGCGGTGCATCTCACTCAGTGTGCGACCGCGAGACATTGGAGAAAATTGGAGAGAAGGCGGAGGAGACCCAATTCTCAGCAACCATGGTGGACGGTACGAAGCTCCCCATCCACGGCGAAGCATCACTGCAGCTGCATATAGGTGCGTTGAGGTGGAAGCCGAAGCTACCTGTCACCAACATCAAAGGGTTAGATTTCATCTTGGGGCGAGATTTTCTGAAGCGGTTCAACCCCGAGATCGATTGGGTCAACAGCAAAGTGTGCATCTACAACAACGGGAAGCAGATAGCACTGCGAAGCTGGACGGATACAGGGGATATTCCTGAAACGACACTGGCACGGTTCGAACAGACGGTGAACGAGAGTAACACGGGTTACTTAGCACTGGTCATGGCTGCAGCAGAAGAGGTGAAAAAGGGTTCCGAGCTACCCGCAGCAGTAAGAAAGGTCTTGGAGCAGTACAAAGACATCATGCCCAACAACCTTCCTGCAGGCGTACCTCCTGCACGCACCCACGAGCACGAGATCGTGGAGGAACCAGGTGCGAAACCCGTCTCACGTGCACCTTACAGACTGAGTCCGACCGAACTGACAGACATGAAGAAACAGATCGAGTATCTACTAGACAGACAACTGATCCGACCATCCACCTCTCCCTACGGCGCACCAGTTCTCTTCACACCGAAACCAGACGGCAGTTTACGGATGTGCATCGACTACCGCGCACTGAACAAACAGACAGTAAAAAACAAATACCCCATACCGCGCATCGACGACTTACTGGACCAACTGCGTGGAGCAACAGTTTTCTCGAAGCTGGACCTACGGTCGGGTTACTGGCAGATCAAGATGGCAGACAACTCGATCCACAAGACGGCGTTCCGTACGAGATACGGCTCCTACGAATACTTGGTGATGCCGTTCGGACTCTGCAACGCACCAGCAACGTTCCAGGCAGAGATGAACCATATTCTACGGCCCCTGCTGGACGAGTGCGTAGTGGTGTAAATGGACGATATCCTCATCTACTCCAAGAACATGAAGGAGCACGTGGAGCATCTACGGAAGGTGTTCGAGATCCTGCGGAAAAATAAGTTCTACGTGAAGCTGTCGAAGAGCGACTTCGCACTAGAGAAGGTGCAGTTTCTCGGGCACATGGTGAGTGCCAAGGGCGTACACGTGGACCCGCGGAAAATCGAAGCCGTTAAAAAGTGGAAGGTTCCGGAGAACGTGAAGGAGTTGCAGCAGTTCCTAGGCTTCGCCAACTACTACAACAGGTTCGTGCCACAGTACGCTAAAATAGCAGCGCCACTGACCGACCTACTGAAAAAGGACACGCCCTTCAAATGGGGTGCTCCTCATTAGCAAGCCATGGAACAGCTACAGACAGCACTGACCACAGCGCCAGTACTCATCCTACCGGATCCCGAGAAAGACTACGTAGTTGAAGCAGACGCTAGTGACCAGGCAGTCGGAGCAGTACTGATGCAGGATCACGGGAACGGTGAACAGAAACTGCACGGAGCAGAACTGAACTACCCCATTCATGACAAGGAAGCCTTAGCCATAGTCGTAGCCTTCAAGGCGTGGAGGTGTTACCTTGAGGGTGCCCAGACCACAGTCTATACGGACACTACAGTCTTAAATACCTGAAGTCGCAGCCGACGCTTTCACGACGACAGGTGCGGTGGGTGGATTTCTTGGAGACTCAGTTCCGCTACGACATCGTCTACAAACCCGGGCTACACAACAAGGCAGACGCGTTGAGCCGCCCCGGTCATGTAGCAGGCATCCAGCTCGAAGGGATGAACCCTCTGCTCAAGGGTCTATTCCAACATGGGTACTCCGTGGACGGCGAGATAGCAACGGCAGAGAAACAGAAGCTGTTACAGTGGGAGAAAGACTTAGCGGTAAGGAAGGGTTCAGGAAAGATTTGGGTACCGAATTACGCCCCGCTACGGCAGATCCTATTGGAGGAGTTTCATGACGTACCATACGCGGGACATTTCAAGAGTAACAAAACGTTAGCGGGAATAGCAAAGTATTACTACTGGCCCCGGATGGCAGCAGACGTGCAGCAGTTCGTCACCTCCTGCGACACGTGCCAGCGGATGAAGAGCAGTAAGCAGAAGAAAGCAGGGTTACTTCAGCCTCTACCCGTACCGGAGCAGCCATGGCAGGTCGTTAGTCTCGACTTCATCACAGGACTTCCCTCGACCTCACGGGGACACGATTCCATCCTCGTGGTCATCGATAAATTCGGAGCTATTCGGTTGCCACCGAACTGCTTTCTACCGAATTCGGGAAGGGTCTGTTCGGGACGCTTCGCGACCCGCAGAACCTTCGCGTAACACCTGGTTACTGCCCTTGTGTCGAGCCTATATATAGCCTCGTGTTGTAACGCCGTGGCGATGGCCTGTCGCGAAATACTGTTGAATGCGTTCTTGATGTCAGCTTGCAGCACTAGGCTGGTGGGGCGGGCATCCAAGAAGGCTTTGGCCGCGTGGATTACAGTCTCGGCGCCACCTGGCACTGCCACACCGTACTGTAGTGGGAGGAAGAATTCGCGGGCAGCTTCACCCATTGCTGCCAGGGCCGACTTGGCCGCCAGCCTCGTCAAGCATTCGCCGATCGCGATTGGCCGAGCACCACCGCCCGGCTTGGCCAAAGCAACGAGGCGTGATGCGGTCAGGAGGTTTGCCACCGAGCCTGGCAAATTCCCACCCAGGATGGTGTTAACCAAGGCGTGCAGATGGGTGCTGACCAATGCATTTGTAATCGCCGCGTCGCGCAAATGTTCGAATGTCATCCCCGACGGCCCAGCTCCGACCCCATTGTTGCATCTGCCCAACATTTTGGCGAAATCCGCATCGGTGATTGAAAGTGTTGACCCGCGCGGCGTCTTCCAGATCACCTCCTCATGTGCAGCGGGTGGGTGCTTTTGACGCAGCTCCTCCAGGATTTCGGGGCTGGGAGTGCAGACGAGAATTGACTCCAGGGCAAGGACGGCTCGTAGGAGACTGCCACGTTTCGCCAGACCCTCGGCTCGGCTGATCACACCTGTCACATCGGGCCTGTGTAGTGGCGGAGGTGGCATGTTGACTGCGTCTACCGTGTTAAGGTACAGTTGCTCCCATTCGCCACGCTGGAAGGCTCGGATCCGGGCTTTGATTTTCGGCCAGTCCGGTCATTGTGGCGAGGTTTGGCGAAGAGTTAGGCGCGGGAGAAACAACAACAGGCGCCATCCTGTCTCTGACTCTGGGTTTCGAGAGAGGTGTAGTAACGGCGTCAGTAGTGCCAGCGAGAACAGCTGACACAGATTTGGCGGTAAGCGCCGCGACAGCGAAGGCTGACGGCTGTCGCACAGAGCCGCGATGTCCCAATTTCCGATGGCTGCGAACAAGCCCGTTCGCTTCGCCAGTTTGTCAGGTGAAAAATAGCGGGGGATCGGAGCGGCTGGGCGTGTCGCAACACCCGCGTTCGCGGTCCGATTTTGTCGAGCGCGACCCAATCGCGCTGGGGAGGCAGAGGTTGGAAACTCCTCTGTCCGATCAGCATCGGGCGGTGTGCGTTGTTCCTGGGGCGATTGCACGCGTGCCTGCTCCTCCACTGCTTCCCTTCTCCCGGAATTCTCCCTCGCCCCGCCTTCCTCGCCCTCTCCCTCTTCGTTCTCGCTATCAGATGTTGCTTCTTCCTTATAAGAGGGATCCCGCCGCTCGTCATCCTCATTTGCTGTTTCTAAGTTAGTTAAAGCTGCCCTTGCTGCTGCCTGGTAACCATTCTCTGGACCTCCGCCAGCCCCGCTTGCTGTTAGCTGTTCCATCCCGCGACGTCCCCGCGCTTGAGATGGTGATTGCTGGAGCGCCTGAGCCATCGCCAGAGCACGCTGCCGCCTGGTCGGCTGTCGTCGCCAAGCCTCAGCCCCCGCTCGAAAAGGCGACCAAGGCGTCGAAGCCTCCTGTACCGCAGGCTCCGAAACCCGCGACAACAGACGCTGGAAAGACTCTTCCCCCCGCACCCGCGGCTCCCCTTGGCGTGGGCAAGGCTGGCCCGTCTGCTCCTGTTGTTGCTCCGCCCGCTCTGCCTGCTGCTCCCGTCCCCCTTGCTCCCGTTGTTGCGCCAACGGCTGCTCCTGCTGGGGGAGCTGCTGATCCCCCTGTTCCTGCCCCTGGCGCACTCGTTGCACCGGCCGCTTCTGTCCCCGACGTGCCTGCGCCGGCGTCTGCTTCTTCCCCGAAGGCGGCGTCCGCCACCACTGTCGGTCCAGCTCCGATGGTTGCGCCTTCGGGCGCGGACCTGATGGCTCCCGCTCCGCTGCCGGCGGTCCCTGTAGGGCAGCCCTCTCGTCCCCCGTCGCCGGACCGCCGTCTATCCCGGCCCCATTCTCCAGCGCCCCAACAGGAGCGCGAGACGTCGCGGCGCCGGCGCAACTCTCCCCGGCGCTACCAGCAGCAGGCCCAGTGGCCTGCTCACCCTGGTGGCAATGGGGGCTGGAGGGGTCCCCACGGGCGCGGAGGTGGCGGGAGATACCGTCCACCTGTGATAATGACGGATCTTCAGCGGGAAGTGTCGAGGGCCGTGCGCGAGGAGAGGGCGGCACAGAGCCAGAGCAGTTCACTGCGGGTCGCGCCAGCGCATGTGGCTCCTCATCAGACTGTGCCTCCCGTAGACCCTCCGCCAGCCGCTGCATTTCCTCCTCCTGTCCTCGCCCCATCGGCTCCTTCTCCTTCTGTATCGGCGCCTGCCCCCGGCTCTCGTCTCCATCTGCCACCGGTTCCGCCTGTTGCGGGAGTGGAGTTTGTTGCTGCGGGGGGTGGCGCTGCGGCTCAGCATTCCCACCACGTTGCTGCTGATGAGCCGCTACTGTTTCTGACGGAGGCGCTGCAGCCTCCGCAGACGCGTGTTCCAGAGACGACACTTGACCAGCTCCACCGCCTCGCAGAGAGTCTCCACGCGTTGCTGCTGATTCAGGTGCTCGCGCACTCGTCCCTCCCCGTGATTCCTCCTGAGACTTTTCGCGGCCGCCAGCGTGACACGTGCTTGGACGCGGCAGACCAGCTCGCAGCGTTGCTGGCGCCCGTGTTGGCTGCGCCCGCGGAGGGTGGCGCTGCTGCTGCGGGACAGCTGGACGAGGCTGTCTGGGGCCTGAAACGGCACTTGCGCGCAGGATCTGGAGCCGCGGCGATCGGCGCAAGCACGCTTGTGGTCCGGGAGCTGTGGCGCTCCCTGACGGGCGTTCTTCACGCCCTTGGAGCTCACCGCATGTAGTTGCGGGCTCCGGTTGCCCCATTGATGCCATGCGTGTCTAGTTCAAAGTAGGATCTGCCATTGCATGTATGTCCTTGCTTAGTGTCACTCGTTTGTGTTTGCGCTTGCCACACCTCACGCGCGGCCGAAGGCCGTTCCGTCGAGCGTCGGCCGCCGAAGGCGGGCGGCGCGAGGGAAAATTTTCGGCCGCCAAACTAACAATGAAGAGAATGGCCTTATGAAGGCCTTAAGTAGGGCTGAGAGGCAAGGGCAGAGGCTAAGGGCGGAGGGCAGAGGCTATTCCTCTCTCTCTCTCTCTCTCTCTCTCTCTCTCTCTCTCTCTCTCTCTCTCTCTCTCTCTCTCTCTCTCTCTCTCTCGCTCTCTCTCGTCCGAGGGAAAAATTTCGGCCGCCAAACTAACAATGAAGAGAATGGCCTTAGGAAGGCCTTAAGTAGGGCTGAGAGGCAAGGGCAGAGGCTAAGGGCGGAGAACCAGGGCAGACCAGTCTTCGCGGGGTTCTTCCCCTTAGCAGTAGAGACCTACGGCTGCAGTTATTCATTTGGCGGCTGCAATTTTTCGCTCGCAGAGAGCGAGAGAGAGAGAGAGAGAGAGAGAGAGAGAGAGAGAGAGAGAGAGAGAGAGAGAGAGAGAGAGAGAGAGAGAGAGAGAGAGAGAGAGAGAGAGAGGGTTAGCCTCTGCCCTCTGCCCTTAGCCTCTGCCCTTAGGTTCCTAGCTACTTAAGTGGCTGTTCTAGCCTCGTTGGCTCATTATTCATTTGGCGGCTGCAATTTTTATTGAGGGGAGTCTGCCCTGCCCTGGTATAGCCCTATTTTCTTGTCTGCCTGCTCCCGTGCCGCCCAGCCCCTCCCCTTCCTAGCCCTCTCATCACGTTTACTGATGGGGTCGGTGATCGTGATGTTCGCCAGCCATACCGCCCCCGAGGTCCGGTCCCGGAACGCCAAGTCCGCCTTCTTGTTATCTACCGGGCTAAAGGCAGTGCACTCCTTGTGCACCGCAAACCCGACATCCTGCGCCATGCGGATACACTCATCGCGGAGCTCGTTATGGGTGTTGGTCCGACCGTGGCCCGTACCGCACCGCAGCAGGTGGTTCGGCA